GGTTTGATCCCTATTCAGCTGAATTCCTGAGACCAGACGAAATCCAGGTCTCCTACTCCTCCGCCATCTTGCTCCGCCCCCAGTATCTCTTTAAATTTCTGCAAAACTGGGCACCTGGGTGGCTCAGTCAGTTAAGTGGCTGCCTTCGGCTCAGGTCATGATCCCAGAGTCCTAGGATCGAGTCCCGCATCAGGCTCCTTGCTCAGCAGAGAGCCTGCTTCTCCCTCTGCCTGCCTACCCCTCCTTATGCTCTCTCTCTCTCACTCTCTCTGTCAAAAAAAAAAAAAAAAAAAAATTCTGTAAAACTGCTAAGATATTTGTTCGGTGGCAAAACAGGCCCTCTACTTCCGAAATAATTTTGCTCTAAGGGGAAAAAAAAACAAAGTGATGACTTATCAAAGAGTCATATATTGTTAAACTTAATGATTTAATAAATATAGGAGATTAGCCAAAACAGTCTTGATTAGATCAGACATCAGCATTGTAGCTGAAGTCATATCCATTATGCGAGAATAGTTACTCTGCAAAATTACTTTATAAAGAAGCAAAAAGTACAAGTATATAGACAGATCCAGACAGGAGCTGTTAATATAAACATTTTATTAGCCTGACTTGATGTTGCTCCTCTTTTAACCGATTACTTTGTAGCTAACTCCCATGAAGTATATATAACCATTCAAACACTTGAAAAACAAAACATTTGTTTTTATCCTAAAGTCATAGTTATGTAGAATACACTCTTCAAGTAAGAATTTCTTACTTTAGACCATGAAAGATCAAGGAGATCAGCGGTGTGTCCTTTATATTTGCAAAATGGCCGCTGCCGAAATGGTGCATTTTTATCATCAGGGTCTTCATCAGCTCCACTGCATACCTATTTAGATATAAAGACAAATGTTAAAACTAGAAAAACAAAAGCTTCATACTCTTCCCACCCCATCAATTCTCTTATCATTTTGTATGCTGCCTGACTGAAATCTTGATCTACCAAAAACAAACTCCCCTTTACGATGAATCTACGACTTATCACTCATTCACCTCCTTGTTCCAATAAACCAGGATCATCCCTGAAGACTGTGCTATCACAGTCTTTCCCTAACAGAGCTCCTACTTTGTCCTTTTCTGAGCATTTGCTCCTTCCGGAGGGGTGGGAGCCAGCACCAGGGGGTGAATCGTGATTGGTCTGAGCTAATCAAAATGAGCTCATTCCCTTTCCCAGTGATGATTGGTTTAGGCATGGGCATGTGCTACAATTTTTTTCAATTAGACAGGATGGAAAGTTTATTGGGGGGTGGGGCGTGGAGACAGGGGAGAGGCTTCCAGAAAGATTTCCTCACTCTTAAAAAGGGGCATACTACAGGGATGTTCTTTCCTTCCTCTGAACATTGCTGTCTGTGTGACACCTATGACTCGTTGCCATCTTACTACCATGAGGGGAACAAACCTAAGAACAGACAAAGAAGAGCAAAGCAGGAGGCTGGCAGAACCCTGTGTCCCTGATGACACTACTGAGCTGCTGAATTAACCAACCCTGGAACCGCCTTACCTCCAGACTTGCTTCCTCATTGTTTAAGCCATTTTCAGTTGGATTTCTGTTATTTGAAGTCAAAAGCATCCTGACAGAGGTAGGTAGAAAATAATGCCATACGTGTGTGCCATGCATTTAGTTTACAACATGCTTTTGTATTCATTATCTGAATGAATCCTAACAACTCTGTCAGGTAGGTAGTAACATTATGGAGATGAAGAAATTAAGAAAAACACCTGAGGCTCAAAGAGATCAAAATAACACATTAAAGCTCACACAGCCACCTGTAAACAGCAGAACCAAAGCAGAAACACAACTCTAAGTCCAAAGATTGTCCCTCAAATGTTTTAGAGAATGTAGCATGAGCAAAAATACGGAGCTGTTAGCTAATAAGCCCTGCATATTTAAGGAAGGATAGGTAGGATGATGTGGACCAGGAAGAAGTTGTATGGAGATATAGCAGGGGATTAGGGCGGAAAGGTACTTTGAGACCAGATCATAAGGGGCCTCGCATTTGTGGCTTAAGAGTTAGGATATTCTAAGGCAATGGAGAGCCAGCACGGGCTTCCGAAAAGAAAGGACAACACTACGTGACTGGTGCTTTAGGAAGAGAAAGCTAGGCAGTAAGGTAAAAGATGGTGGGGAGAAAGAGTGGAGGCAGAAGAGCAGTCCGGAAGTGTAAATAAGAATAAGGAGGGCTCGAACTAGGCCAGGAGCCATGGCACAGGTAAGAGCCACCACCACTATTTGCCTGAAACTTTACAGTGTAGAAAAACATCTTCGTATCCACTGTGGAGGCAGAGCAGCTACGGGATGCCCTGACCTTTTGCCAAGCGCTCCTAATCCTAGAGGACTACGGCTTGGGCCTCTACTTGTACGCCCAGCCTAGTGAGCACAGCTGGCGCACATAAAACTAAACAGGCTTGACCTATTGCATAAAACTCAACCTTTTAATAATCATTTACATTTCATTAAGTCCTCAGCATCATTCCTCTAGCAGTGATTCCAGATCTTATTTTTCTCCTCAAACATCCATGTTCTTCTCCTTGTACTCTATATTTTCTTTCAAAATACTTAAAACACATCTTTTTGATTATAAATACATGGCCAGTGTAGATAATTCAGAAAGCACAGGAAGTAGAAAAACTAAAATTAAAACAATAATCTGCTAACATTATGACTGCCTTCATCTTTCATTTTTTTTTTTAAAGATTGTATTTATTTATTTGACAGAGAGACAGCGAGAGAGGGAACACAAGCAGGGGGAGTGGGAGAGGGAGAAGCAGGCTTCCCGCCGAGCAGGGAGCCTGATGCGGGGCCCAATCCCAGGACTCTGGGATCATGACCTGAGCCAAAGGCAGATGCTTAACAACTGAGCCACCCAGGCGCCCCTTATCTTTCATTTTTTAAAAAAATATTCATTTAAATCACACAGGATTCAGTATCTTCCTTTCTATTATACCATGAGCATTTTCAGTAATTCACTCTCTGAAAACATTTACCAGCTGCCTATCAATATGCTATAATTTAATCATTCTCCAGTTGATTGGTCATTTAGACACTTCCAATTTTTTGCTAGAAGAGCAATTCAATGAACATCCTGCAACATGAATCTTTATGTCTATTTTATTATTTATTTATCCTAATATAAAGGGTATTATGGTCAAAAGGTTTTAAACTTGGAGACTTTGACAGTATCTTCTGTTATTTGTTTTAATAAAAGCAGGTATGTTTACTAAAGAAAATTTTAGGGGTGCCTTGCTCCCTGCTCAGCAGGGAGCCTGCTTCTCCCTCTCTCTGCCTGCCGCTCCCCCTGCTTGTGCTCACCCTCTCTCAATCTCTCTCTCTAATAAATAAGTAAAAATCTTAAAAGAAAAATAAAGAAAATTTTAGAAGTACACAGGAGTAAAAAAAAAAACAAACCTAAAATCCCACCACCTAGAGATGACTACTAGTAATAATTTAGTATATTTCTTTTCTTTCCCAAAGATTTTATTTTTTTAGTAATCTCTGCACCCATTGTGGGGCTTGAACTCAGAACCCCGAGATCAAGAGTCACATGTTCTACTGACTGAGCCAGCCAGGCGCCCCAAATTTAGTGTATTTCTTTGAAATTTTAATATATATTTAGATATTTTTAATCAAAACTGGGATAATACTGTATTCAATTTTTCCATTCTGATTTTTTTCACTTCACATTTTATTTTGAATATTTTTAATGTCATTAAATAGTCTTTGAAAACAATTTAAGGACTGCATAGTATTCTACTTCAAGAATTATACCGTTTTTATTTTCCAATTGTTAAAAAATTTTAGTTGTTTAAATTTTAGCTATCGTTACAATACTAAGATGAAAATCTTTTTATTTACTTCCTCAAGCCTATCTGATTTCCTTTTTTCTTCTAAAAGATTTTATTTGAGAGAGAGAGCATGCATGCAGGCATGAGCACGCAGGTGCTTGTGAGCACGAGTGTGGGGAGGGGCAGAGGCAGAGGGAGCAGCAGACTCCCAGCTGAGCAAGGAGCCTGACCTGGGGCTGGATCCCAGGACTCTAGGATCACCACCTGAGCTAAAGGCAGCCACTTAACCAACTGAGGCACCCAGGCACCAGTCCTTTTTTCTTTTTAAAGTAAGCTCTACACCTAAGGTGGGGCTTCAACTCAGGATCCTGAGATCAAGTGTCCCTTGCTCTACTGACTGAGCCAGCCAGGTACCCCTATCTGATTACTTCTTTATGATAGATTTTTAAAGGTAGAATTATTAAAGGTAGAATCACCAAAATGTTATGCATTTTATCTATATGTATACATCTCTATAAACAGATATCTACATCTAGAGAGATATTTATAGTTCTATATAAAAATATATATTTATGTCTCTATATAAACATATATACAACTTTATTATGACTATTTCAAATATACACAGAAGTAGAACAATGTAATAATGGTAGAACAAACCCAATACATCCATCACCTGCTTTAATGGTTATCAGTATTTTACTCATCTTGTTTTAGCAATCCTCCCACTTTTACGTATGTGCTTATTTTTGCTGGAGCACTTAAAGCAAGATCTAAACACCATTGATTTTACCAGTAAATATTCTTTATGTATTTCTAACTAATAAGCCCTCTTTTAAATATAACTACTATGCTGTTAGCACACCTAAAAAAGTCATTTATTTATTTTTTAAAGATTTTATTTATTTATTTGACAGAGAGAGGCACAGTGAGAGAGGAAACAGAAGCAGGGGGAGTGGGAGAGGGAGAAGCAGGCTCCCGCTGAGCAGGGAGCCTGACGTGGGACTCAATCCCAGGACCCTGGGATCATGACCTGAGCTGAAGGCAGATGCTTAACAACTGAGCCATCCAGGCACCCCTAAAAAAAGTCATTTTAAAGTTGGACTGCTATGAAAACTTGTAAGCCTTTTGATATTTATTAGCACTGACTATATACGATACTGTGTTAGTTATTTGAGATAACAAAATAAATTTCTTAGTTTCTAATTATCTAGTCTCAGTATTTAAAAGCCAGAATGAAGCTTTTAAAATATGTCAGGTTAGGGCGCCTGGGTGAATCAGTTGGTTGGGCGACTGCCTTTGGCTCAGGTCATGATCCTGGAGTCCCGGGATCGAGTCCCGCATCGGGCTCCCTGCTCAGCGGCGAGTCAGCTTCTCCCTCTGACCCTCTTCCCTCTCGTGCTGTCTCTCATTCTCTCTCTCTCAAATAAATAAATAAAATCTTTTTAAAAAAATAAAATAAAATGTCAGGTTATGTCATTCTCTGTTCAAAGACCCTCCACTGGCTTCCATCTCTCTCAGAGTAAAAGCTGAAGTCCTTGTAATGGCTTACACATTGTTTGCCCCATCCACACCTCTGTGACTTCATTCTTTTCTTTTTTTAGAGAAAGATGGGGGGCAGAGGGAGAGTGAGAGAGATAATCTTAAGTAAACTCTGCACTGAGAGTGGAGCCTGACACGGGGCTTGATCTCACGACCCTGATAGCATGACCTGAACCAAAATCAAGAGTGGGAGGCTTAAATGACTGAGCCACCCACGTGCCCCTGTGACTTCACTTTCTACTTTCTCCCTTGCTCACCAGCACTGGCTACTCAGGCCTCAATGCTCTCTCTCTCTCTCCTTTTTTTGGCTTTTTAAGTTGTTATTTTAATTCCAGTTAGTTAACATACAGTGTTATATTAGTTTCAGGTACACAATATAAGGATTCAACAATTCCATATATCACCCAGTAATCATCAGAAGTGCACTCCTTAATCCCCATCACCTACTTCACCCATTCCCCCCCATAATGCCATTTCTTGAACACACCAGAACTCACTTGCCAT